ACTAACAGTATATGTAAAAGTAGTCACCTCCCTGTTCCTGTTTGCTACGCCCTTGTTTATATATCTACGGATCAAATTAGCCTTTTAAGTCTTGGGATCAGACTGGGAACTGATGTTCAGTGGGTTGTGCCTGGATTTCCTTTCACAGCCACAGCTTCCAGAATCCGAGTCTGGCTTCCAATACCTGCTCTGAGATATGTGATTTTGCAGGTAGCTACATCAAAATGTACTTCATTTACCAAAATTTTACCAAGATCTCTGTAGCGATCTTGCCCTTACCATTATTTGTCTCTCTTCTAGATCATTTATAAATAAGTTGAAGAATATCAGTACTGTCACTGGTTCCAGCTGAAGCCCCTCCTAACCCCTTCCAGAAATATACCCGTTCAGTGATTTCTGAATCACAACTACTAATCAAGATCAGTTGAGGGGAATATTTCTGCAATGCTGGGATTTATTAAAGGTTAGCCACATGTCTCCTGAGATAATGATTTCAGGAGTAACTTATCTGTCTCTGCCATTTTCATCTTTTGACAAACAGAAAAGGTTGCCTAACACCAGCCTCCCTTAACAAATAGTCTGAAAACAATTCTAAAACAGTATTTTATTGTCTTCATTTGATGTGAGTCCTCATTCTTTCCAAAAACAACACAGAAAAAATTACTGAGCATTTCTGCCCTTCCACATTCTTATCAGCCTTTTTACCATCACAGTTTAGTGACAGTTTCCAGTACCATTCCTATGCTTTCTTTTCCTCTCAATACGCTTGAAAAAAATCTTCCTTACAGTTGTCATGGATTACTCCAGTTTATCCTGGCTTCCTTTGTCATTTTCTACTCATTATCACCTCCAATTATGTATCAATTATTACTGGTTCCAAACTTTCTGCATTTCCTTTTATATTGCTTTTTTTTTTTAATTCAAATTCCTACTTTTACTCCATCGGTGAACTATGGTAGGCTTTCAGCCAAAAGCAGCTATTTCTTGACTGGGAGTCATGACTTTCAAATAAACTCTTCTCATATAAATCCTATTTCTAATCATATCTTTTCCTATCTACATTTTTCTTTCTCTTTGCCTGTGACATACCTCCCCTCCCGCATCAGTTTTTAACAGTGCCCTGCTGGTGTCCCTTATCTCCATATCAAAGTGATCTGAGTCAGTAAGCTGTAACAAACCTTCAGAGTCAAGTTACTGCTTTTTCTGAACTCTAGTTTGAAAGCGCCAAAGAGCTGAATTCTCCATCCCCTATTTCACTTCCTGCTAAGCTTTTCATTCTACACTAGTACCTTGGGCTTTCTTCCATCCCTTTACTTTATCCTCGCAGAATGTAAAATTGCCTGACCAGATACCATGGTCACCGTAAAATCATCCTTCCCCCTCCATTTTCACTTTCCCCATCATGCCAATGCCTAACAAGTGACTATTATATCTACACAACATTAGGTCATCAAGTGAAAATGCTGTAGGCATGCTAGGAATTATTGCTGTTTGCTTTGCCATTCCATTATCTACAAGCACCTGTAAAACTGCCACAACTCTAGTTCCTATCGCCCAGGGTGCCAAACTCCATGCAGCAGAAAGGACCATGCTGGCAGTCTGCCAGCAGCTGAAAGGCTACATCTAATTGTGCATAAAGTTGAGCAGATTGTCTGCTTAGACTAGAGCAAACAAGCTTATCTTTAATGCAGACATATGGCCAGCAAAACCTACAGATCCCAGCATGCAACATTCTGGCCAGCTGGCCATTGGGATCAGAATGGACCATTACATGATCTGATACTCTGGTGACAGAAGATCAGTATCGCAACTCCGCCATGTTCAAAAATCATGAGTCAGGCCACCCAAATTCATGACTTTGGCTTGGAGAGCGGGAGATTTTAAAGGAGATAAACTGATTGAATTTGCTTTTGAGACAGAGTTCATGTTCTCCCACTTCATTTCCACAATCATTTAAAAAATTTATTTTTTTAATAAACATTAAGTCACACAGTCACTTGTCTCTGGGAGCTGAGACACCAAAGGGGAAAAAAACAGACTCACAGTATGATTAGGGGAGGAGCAGCAACATATTCTGAACTCTTAAAGTGCACAGATAACCTGATAGACACACAGACAGAATCTGGAACCTGCAATCACCACAGATATCCCTGGTAAAGATAAGGGTGGCAGACAGTTTTGTTACAAAACTCCAGGTTTTCCAATCTTGCTCTAAAATCTCTGCTTTTACCATTGTTTCCTTTATTCAACACAGTTTTAACTTCCTTTCTTCCCACCTCTCAGCTGTCACATAAAATGTTCCCTCTGCCTCCAACTTTCCATTCTGTAAGACACCTCTGCTCTCCTATAATGACGCACCATACACTTTATGACAGTTACCCCCTTGACAGCCATCACAGATGCTCAGTCTCCAATTAATGAAGAAAACTCTTCCAACAGAGTTGTTACTTTTAGACAGGTTAAAATCAGCCCTTAATATCTCAGCCCTGTTCTTTAGGTCTTTTAAAATGCTAGGGGAATTCTAGCCGATGCAGGTGGGGAGAATCACTCAGATGTCACTCACCCCCAGTCCACTTTTTGTGTATTTGTTGAGGGCAGAGGAAATTCTGGCTTCAGTCACAATTCTAGGTGCTACAGATTTGGGAATTCCTACTTCTGCTTTGACAATAACTGTTCAAGAGAGGATCTAGCCAAGAAAGGCAAGAAAAGCTTCAGGTCAAAATGAAGGGATTTGCCAGAGATATGAACATGTCAGAAAACAGAAAAAGCACTATCTGCTCTGGGTCAGGACCAACATGCTCTGACAGAGTTGAAGGAAGGTAGTCCAAGAACTAGCGTTTGAGTGTCTTGCAACCAGGAGTGAGTGACTTTGGCAGAGCCATACTGATAAAATCAGCAGAAAGCCGGTATCTGCCCTCTGTTCTTCCCCACGCACACATATTTTCACAAGCAACCAGTACTTTAGGCAACCTGAATGCTTGTTAAAGGGGGGTGAGTTGATCTTTCTTTAATGTCAGAGCTCCTATCTGCATATGATAGAGTGCAAATAAAAGAGGCTACATGCCTTTCTGATCCTGTAACCAGTTCCTATCTTACTTTCTTTGCCTGACATGCTCATTCCATCAATCCCCAGGTTCAGTCCAAAAAAGAGCAAGACAATACAGCCAGAGCTGCACAAGCACTGTGATGAATCTTCTCTTCCATTAAGAAGCACTCAGCTGCACTTGAGCTCAGGTAGTCTTTGAGAGGTAACTTTTTTTGTGGAGACCGAGATCTGCACTAACAGCAACAACCTCCCGGGAAGGGGACAAACGTTCACCCTTACACAGACCTCAGGTTGCCACAGGAAGACAAACGTGACACTGGCACAGCTAAGCCTCACTTTCTATCTGCCACTAGGTAAAATACAGCTACAAGTCGAATTTGATTTAAAGACTTCCACAAAAACTGCCATGTTCATATCTAACACACAGCATGACCTGCCAGTTGCCTGGTCCCTTGAACTAGATGAGAAACATTGCAGAATGAGATTTGTAATCTTTTGAAGGTGTCATTCTCCATCACAGCTGAAGGTGGCTAAAACGAGCTCTGTGATGCAAATTAGCCTTCAGGCTCTTAGCCTGTGGAGCCTGTTTTCTAGTGGAAACACAGAAAGCATGGCAGATTTATGTCCTGCTGTGCAGTGGCTCTGTGGTTTCAGGCCTTAAAAAATTAAAAAGTCTCCCTACCACAAACCCTATGAAAAAAAGATGAAAAAAAATGTACGAGTAGCAATGCCTGGACTACTGTATGAAACCACAGCTAAAAATTTTCTTAGGAGGTATCTAGGACCTAACTGCCCTTGCAATACTCCTTTTTGAGTCAAAAGGGCCAACTCAGTGAGCCAGTGTATGTAAAAATGTGCAATCTCTACAGACTACACCTGTGGAAAATGACTGCAGCAAGGACAGTCCCAAAAGGTGAACAATGGTTTAGATTTTAGTGGTGTTTATGCTCTGAACAATCAAAAATGCTCAGAGTTCAGGCCAGAGCTCACTAGGTTCATTATCAGTTCTTTTTTGCCAAAGGAAAGATTGGGCAATATATATATGAGACAAAGTCTGAAAAGCTATTTACAGCATTGGCAATTTACTGTCCTTCCAGCCAATTCCATCTGGCACCTACTATCTTATCCTGCTACTCCAGGACAGGAATTAAAATACCAAACCTAAATTCTGATTGTGTCCCAAGAATCGTTCTAGACAGCAGGATGTGGAAACACTTGGCCCAATCCAAAAAATGCAGCAAATCAGCAAAAAGCAGTTAGAAACAAATAAAAAGTCATTCCCGTCTCTTTAGAGAAATATCCTGCCAGAGGAATCCCTGGAAGAGAGTTTAAACATATTTAAAAGTTGTCCAGCAGAACAGTAGAGATGTGAACTGAAGATACATTCCAGTATGCATATCTTCCTTTCTCCTTCCACAGTGTGTAATCCTGCTAGAGTACAGATTATTACACACTCCAGCATTTCTAACACAGTTTATCAAAGGAAGGTTTGAATTCAGCCTCTCAAAGATATCAGCTTAGTGTTAATGAGAGCCCATTTAGATAAAGAGCAACAATACTGGGTGGGATGAGAGGTGTGAAATACTTCAAACCACATAAATTCCCTTTATCACTGGTGGAGTTATCTCTCCCCATAGAGACACCAGCCATCACAGGCTTTACAGAAGCCAGGAGGGAATCTGGCACTCAGGCAGAGGGGGTAACTGCTGGTGTGGTGAGACCTGTTCTGAGGATGTGACAACCCTGGTACGCTTACATCTTACTATTGCAAGTGTTTAGAATTACTTAAAAAGGGAATTAAGTACAATATTTAGTAAAGGATAAAGTTCCTTTACAGATTCGCAGGAGCTTCTCCCAAGCATACCAACTCCACAGTAACACCTTGTCGCCTCAGTGTTTCCCAGGCTCAGACTGCCTTTCCTCTCATTGCATCGCTTGATTCTGCTACCTTTACCTTGTGGGATATCATGCTCCAGAGAGTCTAGAAAGTCAGTGGATGGGTCCAGGTCAGCCTTTTCCAGCAGGGTTTTATTCTTCAGGTTAACAGGCTCAGAAAAATGGAAATAGGAACTTAACTTTTTTGCCTCTGTCAAAGAAAGACCTGCAAAGAGCCATTGGTGACCATTAATACAGTGAGCTGGGCTAACATACATTATACCATGGAATGTCACATTGTTTTTCTAACGCCAACAGCACAGGACAGAATCACAGTCTTTCTCCAGCAGATTCCAAAGAAGACCAAAGACTCGCCAGAAATGGCTGGCAGCACTCCCCGATGCTGTGCATTGCAGACCATGCTAACTGCAGTCCCAGATAAGCAATGGGCACTGAGTTGAGACCAACCCTCTGTGCCCATTCGGTTACATCCTATATCTAGATGGAGAATTCACTGCAGCTATAAATTGCTAACCACTGACATAAACTATACACAGACAAATGAAACTACAGGTTTAATGACTCAGAGCCATCACTGATTCTCCTCCCACCTTCCACAGTTGAATCATGCACCTGAACATTGGATTCACTCCTGCCTGTTCAACTTACCCAGGGGAAAAATAAACCTGAAGTCAAAATATCAACTAGAGAAATTCATCTTAATTTACAGCCTTTATGATCAAAGTACAGTTGATGCTGATAAAGACAATGGGAATTTACCTTCAAAGTTTCTGTTTTCATGCACAGATCCAAGAGGAGTCTTCACAAATGCCCCCCGGGGGATGATACCAACTGCTCTGTCTATCTGTTCTATCGTTGCTATGAGGCGGGCCTCCTCCTTGATCACGGGCTATAAAGAAAAAAAGGCAAATTTTAAAGGCAGGGCTTTCCTTGTTGTCATTTCTGAAAATAAACTTGAAGTGACAATAAAAACCACAACAAGACTCATCAGCTTGGAGCCCAATGGCACTAAGAGGACCACAAATCGAACATTCTTCTCATAACAATGTGGCTAGCAGCAGACAGTCCAGACTCATCAGAGAATTAACTGTCTCTCCCTTCATTCATCCTTTCCTCCCTCTCACTTCAGCTACTTATGGCTTGTCTATTCAGTTATAAAGAATGGTACCTGCAGTTCCTATGTAAAGCTTCGGACATAGCAGTGAGGATCTGTACCAATTGTGCATAAAACATAAAGGAGAAATAATATTTCTGAGCTGTGTCTAACTCCAGGAGTAACTGAAGTAAGAGTTCAATCAAGAAGCCATTGCCACACAATAACAGCAAAGAGGAAATTGTGTGTATTCTGCCTGAACACAGGCTCAGGCTGCTTAACAAAGGAGGAGGAGCTACCACCTGTCCAATGTGAGGGGTACAATTGTAGCAAAGAGAGTTTGAAAGTGTTTTGCTGTATTTACCTCCTTACCATCTTCAAACAATCTTTCAGCATCTTCTGCATTTATCTCAGTGTACTCATACTCAAAAGAAGGATCCCCCTGGAAACGGCCCTTCAGCTGCTCAGCCTGCGCAACCATCTCCTCAGTCGCTGGTGGCAGGAGGCTCCATTCCACGCAGTTCAAGCTGTCAGCGACAAGCACACCACAGGCTCAATCCCATTGAAGCACACGGCTCGATGCAGCCTTGCCAGACCCCTCAGGGCACAGCAAGGCTCCCTCCAGGAGAGCTGGGCAGCTCCCCCCCGGCGCTCCCCAGTCCCCTCTCTTCTCCCCTCAACCCACAAACCGGCCTGTCGAGGCCATTTAGGCTTCCCCGGTCCCACCT